ATTATAGATAATTATAAGTCCTTTTTTGAAAACTAATATTTATTTTATTCAAATATATGGGAAAGTTTTTTTTTAAAAAAATATATTGAATATAAATTATTATTATAAGATTACTGGGATATCACGTGTATTGAAAATGCTCCACATAACACACAAATTGTTTTATATAAACTTAACATTATAATCTTAAAAAATCATCTGTATTTTTATGAATACATAAATTTTTATATATAATTATAATTTGTGTGAATAGCTATATAATTTTTTTAAGGAAAATCCAATGTTTTTAAATTTTTGATTGACTCGTTAAAAAAAAAGTAAAGCTCAGTTGAAATCTTTTACATAAAATAATWATTTTTTTGTTTGTTTGGTTCATGTGATCTAAATACAAGTTTAACTACTATTTAAGAAAAAATAATAAATTTTGATATTTTATATTTATATACCGGTATAAAACATGTATATACAGTATTATACTAACTTTTATACAGTATTTAATTTTATTTGTATGTGAAGAACATTAATTAATTTTTATATTTTACAATATAGTCTATATCTATATATAAGTATTTTGTGGTATTATTTTTATTTCACAATTAATTTTCAAAAAGCGTTCAAAAAATTGCAACTAAAAAACCAACTTTCCTGTTGTATTATATATATAATATATCGTAATATTTATAAATAGTTCATATAATTTAGGTGTTTAAAAATAATCCATCAATTTTTGTTACTTTTTTTTGTTTCTAACATAACATTTATATTTCATATTACTTTCACTTATATTATATTTAGTTGTGATATTTATATTAATGTTTTACACTGTAGTAGAAAGTCATGCCCTAAACACATACCAATTATCTCTATTGATATGTTTTTTTTGTTTGTTTATATCGATATGTTTGAAGTGCTATTTAAATGTTGTTTTAATGGTTTATAGTTTTAACTTTATGACAGGTTTTTTTGTTTGTTTGCTGGCAGACAACTACTGATAGTTTTTTTATTATATATTATTATTTCTATTAAAATTATAATACAGTATTTCACTAAATTATTATTAAACATTTCAATAATATCGCAACGTTATACTGTACAGTAATTTAATAAAGTTTCTTAAAAAATATAATGTATTTATTTAATAATAATTAATAAATACAAATAATATATATATATMTATATAATTTTTTCATTAAAATAAATTAAACAATTTCTAAATGCTGACTAATCATCATATAAAAATATTATTTAATTTTAAAATATTAAATTAAAAACCAATTTGTTTTTTTATTATTTTCAAATGTCAAAAATTGATCATTTTAAGGAAATACTTAGCAATTATGTTTTAGTATAGAAAAAATAATTATAATTTTGTCAATTTAAATTCACTATTTGTATATTATATTATTGACTGAAACTAATACATCAAAATTGTCTAATACATCAACGTATTATTTTTGTTTTGTTTAATTTTAAACAAATTTTATTTTATTTTACAATAAGATTACTAATAGACACTGTTTTTTCAAAAATGAGTTCATTATAATAAATACATGAATTCAATGGTAAAATCTAAATATTTTGTATATTAATCACACCTTTAATACCGTAAACGGATTATAAAAAGTTAATTGAATTTTTATTATACTATTATTTTTATTAATCATTACAATAAGAAAGTTATTTTTACGTTAAAAATCTAAGTAAAATGTCTATATATTATCATCATTTATATTTCATTGTATTTAAGTCAATGTTTTCTGTCCCACATATTATTTATATTATATTATTTAAAAAAAGACATTTATATTCAGTGAAAAAATTATATAAAGATTTCTATACTGTAATTCATTAGATGACCTAAAATTAGTTGAGAAATTAAAGTGAAAGCGAAAATAAACATTTTTTTAAAAAATAATAATAATAATAATTAGTATTGTTACTCATCATTGTGTAGTAAATAATTAGTGAATCTTTAGTAAATAAACCAAATTTTTTACAATATTTTATGTACATTTATATGTACTAATATTTGATTTTTATTATAGAAAAAACTAATATATAAATTTTAAAAAATAATAAATATATTGAATAATGTTGTAATTATTAATTATACATTTATTTAAAATTTAATATATCTATAACAACATTGTCTTCAGACTTTCATTTAAAAATATATATATTTATTTTGCATTTAATTTTGATTTTATCAATTGCCCAATTGTATAATATATATAAAAAACAAATTACAGACGATATGACATGTTATAAAATAAATATTTTTTAATTAAAAAAAACTTTTAACTATTTGTATTTCCTTAAAATAATAAAAAAAATATGCTGTTTTATCCATTAAAAGATTTTTTTTAAAACTAATTAAAATAAATTTAAATATTTATTATTATTTTTTAATTATTGCCATTTCTTATTCAATTTATTTATGTTATATAACTATAATATATAGTTTTTTATCAACTTTTAATTATTTTAAAATTATATAAGTTAAATAACATACATTATTGTTATTTTATCAGTCATTTATATTCAAAACTCATCATCACTTTTATTTGTGTTTCAACATAAAGTTTTATCAGACTAAAGATAATCATTTTTATCAGTTTATAATAAACATATAATAAAATAAAAATTATTTTGTACAATAAATTTTTATTTTGATAACATCACAATTATCTTTATAAATAATAAAAGATGTTATTCATTTATTTATTCATAAAAATTAGCATTATTTTAAAATAAAAGTTATAAAATTAATATTTTTTATTTAGTATGCTATATATGCTAATAAACTCAATATATGCTAATAAATAGCAACAAATAACAACTTTATTTATTCATAAATTTATAAATTGTTGCATAATTTTTTTCTTATAAAATTATGTAATACATTATTAGTACAGTATTATATTAAATGTTTATATTTGTATTATTAATTATGTAATTAGCATATTTGTTTAATGTTATATTATGGTTTAAAGGAAAATTATACAAGCAAACTTAATTATTAGGATAACCACAAAAATGTTGTATTTTTTAATAAATATTTACATTTATACATTCTAATAATTATATATAAATATATATACACTGTATAATTAATATATATATTATTGATATTTATTTACTTTTTTATTAGTCAAATATCACGATTTATATGCTTTATTTATAATTATGTTCAAAATTAATTAGATATATATATATTACTAATACTAAGGAAGTTCTTCAATAAATTTGTTCAAAAATATTAATAATTTTTGTTGTAAAAATATAATTTATATTTACAATTTAATTATAATGAAAATATAAGTTTAGTTTTTAATTTTAAATACATTAGAAAAATAATAAATATATAATTGATATATGAAATATTTTTATTATTATTATTATTTGTATCAATCAATGTTTGTTTGAATATTTTTTTTAATCAATTAATCGTGATTTTTTTTATATGAATTTCTACTAAATTATGTTTATGGCATGTACTATATTTTATAAAATGAATAATAATTTTAATGTAAATTTTTTTACAATAACTATCAAATAATAATTAATCATTATTAGCATTATTTTTTATTATTGTTATTATTATTATTATTATTAAAAATATTATTGCTGTTTTGTTGCATAATATTTTGTTATTGTCAGAACTTAGTTATACACAATATGCTCTTAAAATTTGTTATGTAACTCAATGCAAAATCAATTATAATTTACATACATAAATTACTTGGAGTTATAGTTTACAAAAACATATTAGCAATAAATTTTATAATAGCCTTATTTTAAGTTTATGACAAAATCATTTAATAATAATTTTTTTTATGATAAGTACTGTACTTATTTATTTAGTAATCAAGCACACTGTGTAATTACTTTTAGTAAAATACTGTACATAGAAGATTACCTAGTTAAACTTATATTAATATTTATTATAAGGTCAATTTATAAAATTTAATGGATGATTCAAATATTACATAATAAATAAAGCGATTAAATTAAGGAATGATATTTTTTCATGTTTGACAAAATAATTAATTGTCTTAAATATTTAATTTAATTTACATTATTTATACGAACTTAAATAATAATAACTATTAGTTATAATATATAGAAAATTAGTAAAAGTTTTTATTTACATAAAAATTTTAATTTAAATTTAAAATAATACTTTTCTTATAATTAATCGGTTTCAAGTGTAACAAAATGTACACTATCTACTCATAAAATTATTTTTCTAAACAATTTTCTCATAAAATAAATAAATATTTGATTTAATTAAGGCATATTTAAAAGTATAATTTAAAAAATATTATATTATATTATTGAGTTAAAGTACTATTGATTGAGTGAAAAAAAACTACTACTGATTTTTAATTAAATTGTTATTTTTTCATATTTTAAAGTTTAATATATTTCTTAATTAATATTTTCTCACTTTACTGTATTAAGCATTTTGTGATTATAATAATTAACAAAATTAATTTTTATTATTTTAAATGTAGTTTTACAAAAACAAAATTATAATATTGTATTAAGATTTATTATATCAGATATTAAAAAAAAAGATTATTTGAATAAAATTTTGATTAGATATTACTGTCCACTAGTGATGGTCTGCCCGATAATGTGTTAATTATGTTAATATATATTTTTTACTCGTATAGCACACAAATCTCTCACTTTTTCTCATTTATTTATATACCGGTATATATTAACAATAAGTAATAATAAGTAAAAGTTTCTACTAATTGATTACTAGATTATCAATTAAACCATCGCTGAGAAGGCTATTAATCAGATTAGCAAACATTACCATAAAAATAAAATAATGTTTTACAAAAAATGTCTGTTAAATATGTTTAAAGCATACACTAATAAAAAAATTGTTTAATAGTCGATGCAAGATTTTAATTAAAATAATAATTAAAAAACACAGTTTACAATAATGTTATTATTAATTAAAATAATTTACATATGTTTTTATGGTATAATTATTTTATTAGAATTAATTAGGTTTATTGTGTTATTAAATTATTATGTAATTAATAATCGTAAAAAATCACATATTAGGACAAAGATTTGAGTCATTAATGTCTGAACCAATGGGTATTTTTGCCGCTTTGATCAGCGCTTCCTTATAATAGCCATCAGTTGCTAAGCCAGCTTCGGGTCCTTTCATACCGTAATTTTTAATAAACCAGATAACAGTTGCTTTGTCCACGCGATTCATTGTTAGCCGACAACCCCAGGCTACCATTGCAAATGGTCGGCTCGGGTCTAACAGATTATTGGGAGTTATTATATGTTTGCGTATACAGTTGACCACCAGATCTTTAAACATATCAATTTCAGTTTTATCAGCGCATGGATGATACAACATGATTACTGCTCCATGCTAATGTTATATATAATAAATAAAATAAATGTATTTTTTTATAAAAATTAGCTGGGTCTAATTTTGTTATATTACCTCTGCACCATGTACCCATCGTTGTGGCGGTACATAACGGTATTCACCAAATTTAGGCCAAATGGGTCGATGCGACTCATGAGTGGGCAACACTTTGTCATAGAAGATAGGCTTATCCATACATATATGTGCAGCTCTGTATGTATCGGGAATGTGGTCGCACTCATGTTTTGGTGTCAAACTGGGTATATGGCGAAACAGTTCCGGTGGTTGATGGCATGTATAGGCAGCTGACGATCCGTCCCAATCTATCTGTAAATTTGTTTTGCCATTGTCGCACCTTAACAATGCAGCATAGTCACAATTTATGTAGCTTGGTGATAATATTATCAATAATGATAATTGTATTATTAAAATTAAATATAAATTCATTTTATACATAACTGTTACTTAAAGTTAAATATTAAATTAATAATTATAATATTTAAAAAATCAGAAATAATGTATTGCTATTAAATTTCAATTAAACATATGCTTTTCGATTTAAAATATATTTACGTAAGTTATGACATAGAGATTGTTATACTATGTAAAATAATTCAATTTTTTATTAATTAATTAAATTTAATATTTTTTGAAAATAATTTTAATATATAATATTTATTAATATAAAATTTGATGATTATTAAAAAAATATAATACTTAAAAAAGGCTAAAAATTAATTTGGACAGACATGTGAATCATGATAGTCTGACCCAAGTGGTGGTTCAGCTAATTTGATTAGTGCCTCACTATAGTCACCCTCTTTATCGTAATGACCTTCCGGACCATTTAATGCATGTTTTTTGATAAAAGCTATGACAGTATTGTTATCAACTGTATTCATGGTTAGTCGACAACCCCAAGCAACCAGTGCCAGGGGTCGGGTTTCGTCCAATAAAATATTGGCGGTAATTATGTGTTTGCGTAGACATTTAACCACTAGTTTTTTCAATATGTCCACTTGATTTTTATCAGCACAGGGATGATAGTGCATGACAATTGCACCATGCTATAAATATATATAAGAGCTAATATAAAATTATCTTTAAAAATCCATGAAACCATAAACTAGACATACAGTACCTCTATATTATGCAACCATCTCTGTGGTGGCACATACAGGTATTCACCATATTTAGGCCATACCGGCCGATGATCATGGTGAGTTGGCAGTACATTATCATATATAATTGGATCAGTCATACAGTGATGAGTCGGTGTGTAAGTGCTATTAATTTCATAGCATTTCTCCAATGCAGTTATATTTGCTAGACTTTTAAGCCATTCATCTGATGGTTTATTGCACTGGTATGCATTGGGTAAGCCATCCCAGTCCATTTCCAAATGTGACTTACCATCATCACAAAGTGAATTACTTTTGCCCATTTTAATACATGTTTGATAAGTTATGCAACATTGAAACAATAGCAATAATAATTTTAATAAATTAATAAAGTTAAATATTTCTATTTTAAATATATTCATAATTAAAATTAATTATTTATTTTTAAATAATTTTAAACATTTCTAACTTTTATAATGTTTTATAAAATAATAAAACTGTTCCGATTTTTTAGATTAAATATCTATTTAATTTAATATATGATTGTTTGATAAAATAGAAAACAATATGTTTTAAAACACTTGTGTTTGAATTTATGTTATATTAATCATTGTTTTCGAGTAAACAAAAGCAAGTAATTGAAAAAATAAGTCAAAAACAAAAATAAAATTAGTTTTTATTTGTAAAAATTTATTACAATTTGCAAACCTTTATATTTTATTATTTATTTTTATAAATTAAATTTTAATATTATTGATATTATCTAAATTTGTTATAATATATTGTTATTTTTGTTTTTTGTTGAATATAGTAAAATGTGACACAACCTCACCATCGAGTAGTAGTAGTAGTAGTAGTCAATCGTCGGTCTCATTTCGTTGTCCGGAACAGTTTGGCTATTATGCCGACAGTAATAACTGTTCAAAATATTTTGTGTGTGTATTCGGTGAAGCCCTACACGAGTCGTGCACCGGTGGTCTCAGGTTTTCAACTGAACTTCAAACCTGTGATTGGCCTCGAAATGTCCGCTGTCTGGCCGAAGGTTTGACAATAATTTTTTATTATTAAATAAATATCTTTTTATACCTGTAATCTCTCTCTCTCTCTCTCTCTCTCTCTCTCTCTCTCTCTCTCTCTCTCTCTCTTTCTCTCTTAGACTCGGAACCAGAATCACCAATAAATTCCGATTCAGACAGTGATAATGATAACGATAGTAATAACAACAACAGCGGTGGTGACAGTAGAAGCGTAACTAATGAAGACTCGTTATATGACTTCGAGGAGATCCGACAACAAATCAAAAATGTTGCCCAAAGTGATGACAATATTAGACAATTACAAAACTCTTTCAATAATTTATTAGCCAATAATAAACTTGTTTACACTACTATTGCTAATAATAACAATAATACAAGAATTGGTAATAATACTAATACTGGAAATAATAATAATAATAAAAACAGTGAAACCAATGATGACTTTCTGGATCTTCAACGCTCCAGAAGTGTTGTTACACCCAATGCTCAGGAAAGGGGTTTTGGACCACAACTTATCGGTAATTTACAAACTTTTTAAATTTACATTACTATTCACTGACAATAATTTAATTTTGGTAATCAAAAAATATTGTTACAATGTTTTTATTAGGTCGGAGTGTATCCGGTGTGAGAGTAACATCAGTTTCCTCCAGTACCTCAGCTCATACATCGCGAGATAGCCAGCCGCCGGCGCCGTCATCAGCCGCTATTTTGGCCAACAGTAACGCCAAACTATCGGAACTGCAACGTAATAATAGGCTAACAGTCGACGATCTGAACAATCCTAACTTCGATGAGGCCATAGCGGCCATCATCGATGAGAACGGTGGGGTACACCTTAATGATGGTCCGGGAAATATCTTCCAATTGGTTAATCAAGAGCCCAGTGGTAGCGATAAAGAGGTTAACATATTTGCCGGCAGTGAACTCAAACAAAATCAACGAAGAGGACTATCAAATAACCATTTGAATCATATCAGTCGTACCAATGGATCAATACCACAGTCGACAAATCATAGGGGTGGCAGTCGTTTTCTACCGACACCGCGCACTGTTTCGCAACACAATCCATACATACCAAACACATCCAGAGATAGCAACAACGTTAATGTCCGATATGTAGATACATCAGCTCAGAGATCAGTTGCCACTAGCAATAGATCGCCCCGTCAGCGGATACACATAATCGTCAACAATAGGACACAAGTCCAAGAAATACCGATCGACGATCCGATAGATTTTCAGCGCATTCCAGCCATCCATCAGTCGCTTCCTCCAAGTCCTCCGGCAAATAATCGATATTCAAATCCAAGACCTGTTCCTACTGCCGTTGATCACAATCGTCGCCCCATTACAGTGTCGAGTGGACAACGGCAACAACAACAACAAAATCCACGGTCAATCCAAACAACCACTGAGCGACCGGTGCGCACAACTGAAAGAGCTGTACGAACACACAATTCAGAGGTACAATATGTATCGGTAAACGACAGACGACAACCCACAACAAATCATAGGGGTTTCAGTCAGGCTTCCGCTGATTACGGCATTCAACCTGAGATTGTTTCGGCAAGACGTGAGACAATACCTCAGCGTCCACCCCCTGTCTACCGAACACCCGAACCCTTTTCCACAGCCATGGCCTGCAACCAAAAGGCCTGTCGATTGCCAGACTGTTTCTGTTCCGGATCTGACATTCCAGGTATTAATGAAAACTAAAAAAATATAATACATTTTAATTTATATGTCTATCCATCAAAGCTGGACTACCTGTCAATCAAGTGCCTCAAATAATAATGATGACGTTTGATGATGCTGTCAATGATATCAATTGGCACATCTATGAGGATATCTTTCAGCCGCATCGGACAAATCCAAACGGATGTCCAATTAGAGCCACTTTCTATGTGTCACACGAATGGACCGATTATGGACAGGTGCAGACACTTTACTCCCGGGGTCACGAAATGGCATCGCATTCAGTAACGTTAGTCTTTTCCATACAGTATTATCTATTTAAAAAAACTAACATATATATATATATATATATWTTTTTAGACATAGTTTCGGTGAACGGTTCAGCAAAAACCAATGGAATAAAGAAATCAATGGTCAGCGAGAGATACTGCATCTGTACGGTGGGGTCAATCTGGAAGACATCAGAGGAATGAGAGCACCGTTTCTTCAGGGGGGCGGAAACAAACAGTTTGAAATGCTATACGACGCTAATTTTACATACGACTCAACAATGCCAGTGTTTGAAAACAACCCGCCCTACTGGCCATTCACATTGGACTTTGCCAGTAGTCACGAATGCATGATAGCTCCCTGTCCTACCAAATCATTTCCAGGTATGGTATTGTAGTGAAACATTATGAACACATAGAGTACTAAAATATTTTTATTATTATTATTCTGTTATCTTTAGGACTTTGGGAGATAGGAATGGTTATGTGGCACGACTTGCGAGGCGGTCGATGCTCAATGGGAGATGCCTGTAGTAACCCGACCGATGAAAACGGTGTATTTGAGATGATTATGAAAAACTTTAAGCGTCACTACCAGTCGAATCGGGCGCCGTTTGGCATATACTATCACTCGGCCTGGTTTAACACCGATCACCATAAACGGGGATTCATACGAGTTATCGATGAACTACTTAAATATAAAGACGTCTACTTTATGACTAAATATCAGGCCATCCAATGGATGCGTAACCCAAAACCGGTACACGAGCTACACAAGTCATCAGCTGTCCAGTGCGGCCCACAAGTGTTGGCCAATAGGCCGCCGCCGTGTCTGCAGCCAAACATTTGTAACGTTGACTCGAAAAGTGGGTCCCGTTTCTTGAAAACTTGTCAGCCCTGTCCAAAAACGTATCCCTGGGTGGGCAACACTGGCTTTGCTAAGTCATAAGTTTGTAATTATTGTAGGATTAGGATTTTGCAATTGATTTCAATTAAATTAATTAATAATTTATATAATAATAATAATAACGATAATTAAATTAATGTGTGAATTCATTGAAATCACAATACAATCACATACTGTATACATACAAACCAATTGTGTCATAATTTTATGTTTATTTTTTTACTCATAATTTTAATTATTTAAGACCATGGTACAATTTGTTGTACAATCACAATATAACACTCAAATTTAAACTAATTGTAATAATAATATAAATAGTTTTTAAATAATCTTATATTTTGTGTTTATTTATTAACTAATTGATAATTACAAAAAACAATTGAAAACAATTTATATTATGATACAAAATGTTTAATAGTAATAATAATAATGAAATTGTGTGATATATGATAAATAATTTTTCAATTGTTCAATAATATCGATATATAAAAGTTATGTAATTTTACATATTTCAGTGATTAGTGTAAATTGGATTTTGTTAAATAGTTGTTTAAATATTGTTAAAAAAATCAAACAAACAAACAATCTAGAGTTGCCAAATATATAACTTTATATGCAATGCATCATATTTTTGTATTTTTTTCATTTATTTTTTTTATAAATATACTTTTTAAATAATTTTCATTAAACTCTGCAATTAATCAAATCATACATCAATAAAATCATTTTTGCATTTTAAAAAAACGTTTGTTAATCATTTAATTTTAAGTTAATAATACACTAGTTTTATAAATAAAATTTTATTAATTTCTTTAATTAATATAACAAACTTTATTTTTTAATCAAAATTTATACTATTATTATAATACTGTATTACATCACTTTATATTTAGAGGTCATTTAAAGGTCATTTAAAGGTAATTTATCAAGGTCATTTAACTTCTAAAATATTCTAATAATCAACAATAAAACTTTAATTGACAAATATATTTAAAGTAATCAATAAAAACTTTTTTTAATAACTTTAAATTATAAAATATTTTGTTTAAAATTAGTAATAAAATAAATAATTTTATTTTAAATATTCATAAATTCATTATTTTTGCCAATTTTATCAAATATTGTACTTTCTATACAATTATTATTACCCTTCAAATACCTGTTGAGCTATTTATGAGTCAACCCATTGTTTTAATGATAGCAATGACTAAACTGTATACGCCTTTTAACAGCTGTGTTCAAAATTACTTAATATTATTCAAATAATTAAATTTATAACAAAATATTATAATTTAATGAAATAATTATTTTAAAAATAATTTTTATAAATCTATTTATGCTATGATATATAAAAGTATTAATTTAACAAATATATAACAAATAATTTATCGCTTTATAAATTATTTATTAAGTTTTCTTATAATTTTAAAAATACTTTATTTAATATGGAAACTAATAAATTTATTGTTAAAACTACTTAATAAAAAAAAGGTTTCACATCAGTATAATTTAATAAATGACTTTTTGTCCCTTTTTGTAATAATTATTTGAAAAGAAAGAAAATTTATTTTCCTCTTAACTTTCTATTGAAAAACATTAGAAAATATAATATATCTATAATTTTTTACATAACGATGAAAAATACATTAAAATTAAATATATCTAAAAAATAAATATTTCTAGGGTTAGTTAATTGTAGCCAATTATTTTTAATATGTAATTTACAATAATGATTGATAATTTTTATATTATAATTTATAAATATAAAAAACAAAATTATTAAAATTATGAGTTTTTAATTTGTTAATTATTATATGTATAATAGATAAAAAAAAGTTTAATTACTTAACACTATTAATGTCTATTTTAATTTGATAATTTTAAAGATTTATTATCAACACAATCAAAATGTATAAAAATAACACTAAAAATATATGTAATTTACAAAAAACAATCTTAATTATCAAATTTAAAATATATATAAATATAAACATTATTTATTGTATAGATATTACAAGTGTTTAAAAATCATATTTAATATTAATATATTGCGTGTGGAAAACACAAGTAATGGCATTTAAACCAATGTTTATGTATCGCATGTTATAATAAACAAAGTCACTAATAGGCGGAGCTTAGAACTTAAACTGTATAACTGTATAATATTAATGGTAAATGTTTAGCCGTATTGTATGTATGTGTGTATATTATATTATATACTGTATATTTTGAGTATAAAAATCTATAGCTTTTAGTTATTCATTCAATACATGTATTTGTCAATTGTATGGATTGCGTCACGAAATAAAAGACTATATAAGAGGCGTTTAAACATAACTTTAATGTTTAGTCTGATATTTGACTGAAAGTTTGCAAACTTTTAGAGAGAGAGAGAAAAAAGTACTGTTTTTCAAAACTACTGTACTTTTACTTTAATAATAATAAAATTTGACGAAAATATCATTTTTTACAACAATGAAAGTTAAGTCATCAATGAAGTTAAAATCGGATAATACATACCTGAGCTCTGGTAGTGGTCTATGGAAACGCAATGCTTCTGCACCGTCGGGTTTAGTGGCCAGACCTATACCCGGCCAACTCAAAGGCTATTCATCGTTCAATTTTGTCGACAACTACGGCCCGATAGCCTTTGAATGGTTGTGGACAGTGATTAAACAGTTGACTGAATTGGGTCAACTGGGATACTGGAGCTCATTCAGTGATGACAGCCAATACATGACTGTACACTACGCTTCTCCATCTGAATCCAATCGTATTGAAGACAAACTATTGAATCTCGGAGTTAATGGTATCAGAAGTCGACAGAAAATCTATACTAAACTCACTGCACATACAATCAAATCATTTATGAAATCTAAATACAGATCTTAAGTATTATTATTAGCTATGATTTAATAACCCATTTGTGACACTTGTGTTTGCATTGTATATATGATTACTGAAAAAACTTATTGTATATCATATATACAGTAAAAATAAGCTGCAAATACAACTTATATATTACATGTAAATTGGATATTCACTAAAAAATTTCTACTTTATTGGATACCTGGTATAATATTTGCACAAAAACTTTACAAAACCCTATTTAAAATAAAATAAAAGTACAAAACAATTAAAATACATAAAAATATATATAATATATTAAAATATTTTTAAAAAAGTAAATGATATAATTAATAAAAAAAATATATCAAATACAATTTATAAACTTTATTTAACTATTTATTACTAATTACTATTTAACTATATATTATCTGTTAGTTGATTGTTACTAAAATTGTTAAATTATGAATTATTATTTTTTTTTAATTAATTATATTTATATAAAAATTATCATGATAAACAATATAGTCTATGTTAATGTTTTAATTGTGTTATCTTAATTTAATAAAAACATTGTATTTTTACTTAAAAAAATAAAAATAAAATAATGTTTAATTCAAAAAATGCACATGTACTTATTTAAAATTTATAATGATCACATTTTTAGCTAGTTAAAAACAAATATCAATATTTAAAAACGCAAATTTTTAATATGATATTTTTTTAATATAAAATTTTCACTATTTTAATATTATAGGCTTAATAAATAAAACATTTTTAGATAAAAAATAGATTAATTATAATTATGTTATTACAAAATTGATTAAAAAAATATTTATTTTAATAATTTACTAATATATTTTAATAAAAGTTAATACAATAAGTAGACAATGTTTGAAAAGTTTATAATGTTTTAGAAATACTATATTAAGTAAGCAATAAACGTAAGGATAATAAGTTTATTCAATCGTTATTTGTGTATTTGTATATTATAGTGATGTCACTATAAAATAAATACTTACCAAAACTTGAATGATAATATAGATATATACTAGTTATAGGCGGAGCTTAGTTAGCTTATATACACATTTAATGTAAAAATTCTGTTGTATGTATATATTGTAAAAATTCTATGACATTATATATTAACTTTGTGTGTATATATGTATTGCATTATTGTTATTGCGTTATATGAAAAATCAAATGTGTTTACAGTATATAAAGGCATTTAAATGTTAGTAAAGCTTACAGTAGTCGACAACACTTACTATTGATAACTTGTGTTAGACTAGTCTTAACTAAAATAGTGTTTTTCAGTGAAACAAAAGTTATTTTTTGTTTAACAGTTTTTGTGTCAATCGTTTGAATTATTTGTTAAGTGATGACCGGATCAAATACACCGCAAAAGTCGTGGACTGATGACCACAAAGCCTTCGGACCACAAGAAGTGGCCAAACCAATGGACGGCGACGTTAAAGGGATTGCAAAGTTTGATTATAAGGATAACGGCGGCGAAGACCCATTCAAATGGTTGTGGCCACACATCAAACAGTCCACCGAAAGTGGTGAACTCGGTTACTATAGTTGGCTCAGTGAGGACTGTCTGGCCATTTATGTACACTTTGCTGATATCAATGATAAAGATCGCATCCAAACCAGATTAAGTCAATTCAATATTAAAAACATTAGATATACGGCTAAAATCTACGGAAGATTGTCGTTATCACCGGTCAAACCTAAATCGTTTCATTGTCTTAATTGTGACCGACATTATAAAAGAGATGGCAAATGGCTTAAAAAACATGCGGCTAATTGTCGGCCCAAAAGAAAGTGATCGTATCATTGAAAGTATAACGACCTAATCGGCCACACTTTGCATAACATAACTGGACCTCCAATATATCTGACATACATTGTGGACACGATTATCATATTTATTCATTAACTAAATTAAGTACAAAACAATAATAATGAAATTTATTTATAACTATAATATCATTTAATTTTATCAAGCATTTTATAATTATTAGATATTTACTGTTTTTTAAAAATATTTTTTAAATATAATAATTGATATTTATATAACATACTATACTTTACAAATGTATTTTCTATTCATAAAAAACAATAAAATCATGATTAACTATAATATAACCGTATTTCTTATTTTAATTTATAATTATAAATTATTTTAGTTAGTTTTGAAATTACAA